TTAACGCTCGATTGCTTTGCCTTAAGCACTTTCAACTCTTTCAAGCTCTCAATATTTTAGTGGGTCTCGAGTGCAGGCTACACTCCACTCTCCGCTCTCGTCCCTTCCTTGGAAGAATGGCTTGCAAAAAGTGCACTTCATTTGATTTAAATTGATACGAAGTCAGTTTGAATTTCATTTGCAAAATGGAATGCCCAAAACAGGGACGGACATGGGAGCTGTCCCCAGTTATAAGTTATAATGGCCTGACCACAATTTCCCACTCGACAATGGCCAAAAGACATGCTCAAGTGCTCGCTTGGGCAGCAGTTGAAAGGAAAATTTTGTCATCTCAATGCAGATTGAAAACTCACTTTGTGCAAGGGTCTCCCTTTCCTCTCTTCCTACGAGATATATGTATGTGTGTTTGTGTGTGTTTTTGTGGCATACTTGAGATTACCAAATTACAGTTGCACAACATTCAAGGCATACACTTAGGCGCACTTAGGGCCAAAAGTCGCTTTCGTGTTATCAATAACCATCTATGGCGATGTCGATTGCTTAGTGGGGGAAACTTTTTCATGGCGTGCACTTTGGCTTGCCATTCAGACTAGCGCCTTAAAGGCGGCTGCACTTTTTGTCTATTACCCGTCCTGAGTGCATCAAACTGTCATTTTGTTTGCCGGATTCCTCCAAGTAGTATGCGGGCGTAGTAGGTGGTCAAACGGCTGTGCTCCAATAAACTTTGCCGAGTCTCGCCATAGCACAAACGCTGACACAGGTATGGTTGGATGACTGCATGATTGGAGATTGCCTTTCCCGAAGTTTTGGGGAAACTTTAACAAAAAGAAATCGTGGGTTTTGCTTCCAATTCAATTTTTCAGCCAACTTTCTCTCTCTCTCCCTGCGAAAATCTCTACAATAATCCAAAATTGACTAACCAAATAGAAATCAAATACAATAGCATGACAAAACGTAGGAAAACAAGTGAGAGAGAGAGAGAGAGAGTGCGGGCGGGAGGGCGTGTGTGTCCTTCGTTGCAGGGCAATGCGAATGCAATGAAGCGTTCATTTATCCCATGTTATTCAATTGGACATTTGCGAAAAATTAAACACACAGTCTGCAGTCCTCTCGATCCGCAAAACAAATTCAAAATCTACTCGGACCCCAAACTTGGAACGAGCACTCCAACTTTGACCCACACCCACAGCTGTAGTATTAACAACAATTGCAATTGCAGGACAGGCTATGTAGGATGTTACTGCGGAATCCACATCGCTACCCCCACAAAACACAGTCCATTGCACACACATCGACAATGACAAGTACATGGGCATAATAAAGTCTTGGAATTTATTTTTATGTGCATATAATAGAGGGCTGCACCCTCGCAAGCTGGGAGGCAGGGCGGTAGAGCTCCCTCCCCCAAAACATACACACACACGCCCAATCATGCAGGCCAGCGGACCCCCAGGAGACGCATTTCATCTGACAATGCGCAACATTTTACGAGGCCAGGAAAAACAGCCCTACAGGAACCAGCCCACAGGAGCTGGCACCAGGCAATGACTTCACCTCGTGTCCAATCCAATCCGTTGCTCTGTCCAGACCAAGAGTCCGCAACGAATTTTCGAATTTAGCCAATATTTGCGTAGTCATTGGGAGATTATCCTAATTGAGAATCTCGGCGTTAAGCTTGGAGGGGTTGCCGCTGCCCTCTGCAAAGGGCTGGCACTGGGGTTGATGCCCCCATGACAGGGGCTGTCCTTAAGACAGTGTACCCAAATAGATGGATATATAGATGTCTCTGTCACGGGGTCGGGACGGCTCTGGGTAGATGAAGCGGAAGCATGAAATTGTCGCAATCTAAAGTAGAGTACACTGGTAGAAACCGGGGTAAAAGTGCAAGTAAAATGCTCTTGGTTCAGCAAACTATCGTCTGAGTTTTTCCACTCCCACAGGAAGACCAAATGAAGCACAAACAAGGCCCTATCTTGACCAATTTCTCCCCTCTGCCCTACCCGCCCGCGTCTTAGTATCTGCTGTCACAATTCATTACGAGCTCTCAATTCGAGGCAAAAGAAAACATAAATAAACTTTTTGTTTTAGATTTCGTGACAAATGTACGGAAATGGCATTTTCCATCAACTGTGAGACCCAAACCCGACCCCTAAACCCATTCCTGCCCTGCTGCGTGCGGAATTGTCACTGGAAAGAAAATATTTACACAGGCGAAAGGTCTCGGAGACCCTCGGAGCTCGGGCGTACAAGTGTACGAGCTACACTCCCACCAACACAGGAAGCCGTCCGTCGAAGCCAAAAAGGATTACTTATCGCATATTTTGACATAAGTTAAGTTCATCAGTGAAATACGAGAGTCAATTGTTCCGTTCGGAGGGAGGTGGGGTGCTTAAACCAATGTCCAGACTGCCAGACAGCCGGACAGACAGAGGTCCGACATCGTCTGTCTACTCGTTCGTGTGATGGGTCAATTGTGATAAGCCGAATGTCCGAATGGCCACCCCTGGACGGCGACTGCTGCTTTGTTCTAGGCCCTGCCACTTCTGGGCCTGCGTTTATTTGCATTCGGCTTTGTTTCTGTTTGCAGTGAAATCGAGGCAGGACGAACAGAGCAGGACGACTGTAAAATTGGCAAATATCTATCGAACAATTGACAGTTTAGGGCGGAAAGCCTCGGCAAAAAGCCCCTTTGCTATTGATGGACGACAGAACCACATTCTGGACATATGGAAAGGCCGAACCCAGTCCGAATGTGAGCAAGGAATAATGCCAAGATTTGGCAAAATAAAAAAGGATTTAATTCCCAGCTTATTTTTAGTCTTTATTTTTAGGTCTTCGCAACGAATAAAAAGGGTTTCCCACCCTACAATGCCTTTGTTAGCGTCTGCCCAAATATCCAATTGGTATATTTGGCATTTCAATGGATCCCAGTGATTTTTATGTATGGCGAATAAAACTTTCGTAATGGGAAGAATTAGAAAAGATATCGAATAACCCTCAGCTAATTTTTTCTAATCTAACTTACTCAGTGGGACAATAATCAAAATAAAGCAAGCAAATCTGGTTTCTCACCGACCAGATTATGATAATTTTTCCCACATAAATGGAACACAAACTCTAATATTTACAATTGTAGAACTAGGTTTCTGAAATTACGAAAGTGAAATTAATTATATACACAATTTTAATGCAATGCTTTAAGCCAAAACAACATCTGGCCACCAGGCACGAGTTTAGTTAGCTACCAGCATCTTGCGTGCTTTTATGCCGATACCATTGGGGGCAAGGCAAAACTATGTTGCCACGGGCCATACACAAGTCCAAACACAAAGAACTCCTTCGACCTCGAGTCCCGCTGGGACTCCAGACACAGACACCAACAACGACGGTGACTGGCGACTGCCACTGCCGCTCATTCTACTCATCCACAGTTGCGCCTGGTTGTAAAGATATAAAATCAGACAACTGCAACAACAGAACTACAAGGGGCTCCCGAAGGAAGCAGTGCAGAGCAGGGCAGGATAGCACGACAGCAAGACAGGCAGTTGTTGTGTCCTCGTCTTCGAAATGTGTGTGTGTGTGTGTGTTGTCAGCTGCAGCGGCGATTTGTAGCGCCACAAGGATAATCGCACTTTTAATCGTGATTTAAGTTTATGGCGCTGGGTGCTCGTTTAGTTTCCTGTTACTTGTGCTACAACAACGATGCATCTCCTTGCAGCGTCTGAGCATTTTTTTCAATTCCTTTCTCATGGCTTCATCAGCCTCAGCGTCAGCAGAAGGCGGGAGGCTGGCGGAGCAGGACTAGAAGCCTGACTGCTTGTTAAGTTTCCCGCTTTCATTTTTATATTTTTAATGATTTTTATTGCATAACTGGCGGCGTCTCCTCGACCTCACCCAATAAGGCCCGGCATGGCCCGGCACGGCACGACCCCGGCCAGGCAATTGCACTTTGCCACATTTTATGGCCAGTCCCAAAGAAGGAAGGAAGCCAACAATGGAGCTAAAAAAAAGCCATAGTCGTGATTTGTTGTTACTGCTCGTTGAGCCAAGCAAATGACAAATGCAGAGCAGGGACAGACATGATAAGCGCTGCAGGAGGAGCCTTAAGGATATAAGTGGAGTGAAAGTAGACCAGGAAGATATCAAAAAGCTCTGGAAACAGATTTCGTTTATATCCCTAGTTCTGCCTGTAATCCGTGAACGATTGATTTCAGGATCCATAACTTCACAGGATTTTATTTCGATTGAATACCCTGCTATTTGTGAATGCTTTGTGTTGACTCAATCGTTAGGATTGACATATCACTTTGTGTCTACACTAATTCCTAACCCAATTTAAAGCCCTCGATGCAGGATGCACCCACATAAATCTGATTACCGCATTACCCCTTACCAAGCGATCCTTCGTGTAATTTGTTGCTTAGCAAACTCTCATTTAACTTTAGAGCCTTTCCGCCACTGTACCTTCCGCTGGTTCGTTTACTTTTGCAAATTATAAGCACTCACATAAATTTCACTTACTGCCGCAGTCGCAGCCGAACCAGTGGGTGCCAAACCATGTTTGGCCAGAGACAGGGGAGTCTCTGAGCTATGAGCACCTTTTCATGAGACGTAATTAGAAGGGAAATCAGAGAAAGGAGAAGGAAAGAGGCCACTGGTTCTACTGGCTACCAACTTAAGATGATGAGAGAGCAGTACCATGGAGCAGGCCAGGCAGGTGAAGGGGAATTGGCCACTTGAAATGCAAATTGCGTGCAAATTATGGCAAGCTGGCAGCCAACCGGGCAGGTGAGCAAGTTTCCTGCTCTCTTTTTTCCCCTCTGTTGTTTTCCTGATTCATTGCGGAAGAGGAAATATTACTTAGGAGACGGAAAGTTGTTTTTTTAATTGCTGGAGTTTTAATTCAATTTCCGGCTATGCATTTTATGCATCTTCTTGCACAAGAAGAATCCTGCGGAGCATTCACCCTACTGTTTATGGTTGACCTCTCCCATATAGTATTACTTCCCACACTTACCGTTATTATGAGTTAAAAAAGCGTTCTCTGCTTCCGAAGACGATGATCCTTGATGCTCATTATTGGCATTCGACGAAGAGGATGAGTTAGAGAAGTCGTAGGGATGGCTTAGACTATTACTTCCCCCAGCAGTAGTTGCAGCCAGGGCCTTGAACAGGTGAGCAGTACGTTGCTGCTGGGTCTGCTGCTGCTGTTGTTGCTGTTGCTGTTGCTGCTGTTGCTGTTGGGGTGGTATGTAGGGATTGTTGTAGATGTTACGAGTGTCATTCGATGGTTGCAGGTTAAATTGTTGCTGCTGCTGAAGCGTGTTATTGGCACTCAGACCATTCACCGTAAAATGCCGCGATTTGGCTGAAAAAAAGAGCAGTTGGAAAATATGCTAAAAATTGAAGCTAACCTTTCGAAGTTTGAGAAAAGAATTTAAAAAAAGACAAAAAAAAACCTGTTCTTGTCATGACAGTTGCCACCCACTACTCCCCAATCCTCAATCCACCCGTCGACCAATTCTCCTTACGCCTAATTGCATGCATTGAAATATGCAAATGAGCCCAAGGGGCATGTGGCATGAGGCATGTGTGTGTGTCTTCGGTTGCTTCAATTAAAGCATTTTCGCTGCTGTGCTCGAAAAGGTTTGGGGTTTCCCCCATTTCATCCGCTCACAGTAGCCGCCTATTGTTGCTTTTCTCATATGAATTATGCATGGTACTGACAACTCGATGGGTATGCTGCCGAAGCTCTTGATACCCTTGCATTTTCATTGATTTTACAATACCTAATGAATATAGTCTTCCGATTTGGAATGACTGTCTGATATATGATGAAACTCAAACAGGGACAGGGACTGTTAATACTTTTATTCAGTGATACTTTCTTCTCTGTCAAAGTCGTAATACTCTCTTCAAGGGTATCTTCCGTACCTCACGCTCTCCTTAAGTTTTGCGGAAATAATGTTGACGCGGAAGCTGTGATAATGAAGCAGGCAAAAAGCAAAATGTCACCTCTCTCCGCTCCCCTGCCCGAAAAAATTATGCTAACCCTTTCAATTTTCCACAAGCAGCCCGCCCGGAAAAGTTGCTCCTTTCCGAGAACGAGATTGCCTTTGCTGTTGTTTTTGTTGTTGTTGATGCTGCCTGCTACCGCTTTTTGCATATTAATTATGCATGTTTTCGGTTGGTGTGAAGGCATCAACACATTGTTTGAATTTAAAGCAACACAAGCGACAAAATTAGGGGTAAACTGACTGCCAGCAAAGAGGGAAGGAGAGTCACAACAAGTCTCCCTTTAGGGTTTTTCAGACTCTGATTTGTTCCGCAGTGGCCCCAACTGTGTAAATATTAAGTGCGAAAGATAACGAGCTAATAACTCACTTAATTTTTGGCTGTTTTGTGTCTGCCTGGATGTGGGTATTCGATGTAAACACAACTTAGTGCCAGAGAACGGAAAAAACCCCTTAACACACATTTCCCAGGCGATCTGCTCACAACAAAACAGTCGTGACGTTTTGACACTTTCTACGCGGTACTCAGTTTGGACATGGGAAAACTATGTTTGGGAACGATATAAAAGCAGACTTCGCTTCATTGTGACATTTCTGATTCAAAGAACAAATATAATTTATGTATGCAGAAGGAATTAGATATTTATCTACATGGTAAGTACGATTTTTATGAAGCATTGAGGACATCAGGACAGCACCGATAGCTGTCCCAGGCCCAGTTTGGTATGCTCTTCAGGCTCTTCATGTAGGTCTCGGCATGCTCTTGCAGGCGCTGCAGAAAGAGCTTAAAAGTGCGGAGGTTGAGCTGTCGATAGTTCGGGCAACGAGTATCGTGATGGTGGTTCGAACGTTCGAGCTCCACCATATTTGGCGTATTGATAAGCTTGGCGTTCTGAGCCGACTCCATGCTGGCGAAGATCGCATATGAGTCCTTGATCATCTCAAAAAGCCAGTCTTGGAAGTCGGATGACTCAAAAACATCACCAAGCATCTGGTTCTCGCACTGAGTGGACACAGACCGAAGCAGCCAGGCCGGAAACAGACAGAAATGCATGTTGGACATCAACTCGAAGACGTACTGCTGCCGCTTCTCGCATGCGTGCTCCAGTCAGAGGAGGCAGGCGAAGAAGATTTCCTCCTCGCCATTCACGCAGATTGTTTTCAGCCGTAGGAGGTAGACCACCTCCTGGACGTCCAGCTCGAGAAACTCCCGAGAGGCAACCAGAAGAAGGAAGCTCTTGCGGACTCGGGACAGCAATATGATCATCAAATCCTCGCAACGGTGTGTGCGGGCCGACAGATAGGTGTGGAGGGCATTCTGTTAACAGATGCCACCAACAGCATCCAGTCGTAGATCCTGTGGAGGAGGCACATGTTCACATTCTCTATGGGCATCTGCAGGACGCTGCCTTTGCAGCTCCCAAAATTCTTGGCAAAATATGGGAACAGAGACCGATCGACTTGGAGGAACTGGGACTTGATCAGTACCTCCAGGTCATCGAACCAGTAATTGCGAATCGCCGAAAGCATGACATCGTATTGAGCTGAAAACTGTGGAAAACTTACCCAGCTGGCACTGATCATTTTGTATCTGGATTTTGGCGCATGCAATCTTTTCAAGACGCCATAGCAACTCATAGTCGTGAGTGGTGGCCTCTTGTTGCCCTTGGGTTTCCGAGTGTTTCTGGTTCTTAATAGGCAAGTTTATCTTGTCAATATTGGCTAGCTGGGAAGTGGAAAAGTCTAGTATATATTTGCGATTTGCCCAAACTTTTAGTAGATTGTATCGTCCCAGTTGGAATACACTTTGCACTCCTGCCTCTGCATGTCGTCACAGCAGAATGTTTTAAACGTTTCGGGAGCTTTAAAAGACTTCCTTGTCTTGCTTTTTAAATTTTGTTAAATACGTACAGAGATTTATTTGAAAAGAAGTATTCTAACTCTCTCCACTCTGTAAACCAGCCATTTCTTCTGCTCAATTTCCTGCTTTAAAGGTCAGTTCCATTTAGTTCCAAATCCCGACTTCAATGTCAATTTCCTGGCGATAAAATTTGGGTGGTACAACACGCGTCGCGGTTTAAAAAGCAATGTCAATAAATTTTCACTAGAACGAATTTATTGGTAAATCCTCGCCCGCTTTATGACACGGAGACACAGCCTTAGCCATAGCCATAGGCAAGGCCAGGACCTCACAGGAACAGAGACTCAACCCGTTGATTCTGGGGACAAATCTGCGACGCGTCTAAATGTCAATAAAAAACACATTCCGCTACCCAGCCCAACGATTTTCAGGATATTCAGGAGAAATTCCCTTCGTTTAGCGACGAAATAATGACACAAAATAGCATAATTCGACGAGCAGCCAAAAGGGTTGCTCTGAGCAAAGAAAAAGTCAAGGAAGCAACATTGAAATTGCCTGATTTAGTAGACGCATGGGGACAGCCTCCAACCCTACACGGAGGGGATGTATGAAAAATATTAGCAACAACAAAGGAATAAAGCACACATATAAGAAAAACTAGCAACAACAGAAAAAAAATTGTGTGGCAATAAAATTTGCGTAAATAGTCCAATTTGCATTGAATGTGGCCCTTATTTATGGCACTGGCACCGGCACTGGGACTGGGACTCTTACCCGGGAGGCATTGCGCAATCAGGCAACCCTAGAAAATGGGGGCACGAATGGGTATTCGTATGGGGGACTGGAGTCGGGGGTTGTGTATTGTTAGCAGTGTGCCATTTATTGTTGTTGTTGTTACTGCTCTTGTTGGCCAAGTGTAAATTTGCCAAAATTTTGTTGAAAGAAATATAAATAAAAAATGGGCAATGGCTTGAAATGGTAATGGGACTGGGAATGGATCTGGCGACTTTTGGGATGGTCTGTTCCATGACTTTTACGAATTATCAACGGCAACTCAATTTGAATTATATCCGTGGAGAAAACTTAAAGTTCAAATTGTGATGGTTTCATGGGGGGATGGTGGACTGCCACTAGAAGGGAGGATTATGTAATCCACGTAATTAATTCAACAACCAATCAATCCGCAATAGCAGGGGCAGCTCACCTTTTGTTTCGTTTCGGTTTTCCAAACTTTGGCCAGACGAAAGCACTCGAAACTTTCTACTCACAATGGCCGCAATCAGGTCTCCGGAACAATTAACAATCGATGCATCCAATTAACAATTAAAGGAAAGCCCCCAAAATGGAATGAAGGTAAAAAAAAGTTGGCTGCCGCGGAAAACTTCGTACAGCGATGGAAAACTTTCCATTCGATTGGCCCGAGCTGAACAAATTTTATAAATAAATGCTAAATCCTCCATAAATATTTGAAATCCTCCAAATATACAAATTCCAAGAACACACACACCCCCATCGATGCTCCCACATCAACTATTTATGGCAAGACATCAGGCGATGGAACCAATTGGTTTTCACACGCACGATTCAAACCGGGACCTAAAGACTACAACTAATAATAAATACACTTTGTCAATTTATTTTGGATTTCATTTAAAATTCAAATTGCAGCAATTAGGGTGAAAATTAAGTGCTGATAGAAGCTTCATAAGAGGTTTACGGGTTGCTTTAAGCTCTTCACCACTACACTCCCTTTACAGATGGACTAAACGCATTAGAATCGCGACAGGATTGGGCCCTGAGACTTGGGACACTTGAACAGATGTCCTGGCATTTGAAATTCACAAAACTAAAGGCAAATGGGGGAAAATAGGAAATGTGAAATGCGAAATGCCGCTGACTCAGCCAGAAAAGACAAAGCCGAAGGACAGGCGAAAACACCTTGTTGTTCCTGGCTGAAGGATGTGAAGATAAAGCCAACGAAGCTGTCAATGACAGTTGGCTGTTGTCAGCACCCTCACAGCGGTGGAAAATTCGCACAGCTGAGCGTTGAAGAAGGGCCAAAAGTTATCTGCCTGAATAATTCCGGGAAGGCTTAGAGTTGGAGGTGGACTGGGCCATGAGAGAGGCGCAGAAGTTTCGTCCGTCCTCTAATGCATGTTTGGCATTTACATAATTCCCATTGGCCATGGTGAGGGGTAAGGGGATTGAAAGCACTTGACTCGCACCAGCATAGCCCAAAAACCCAGACCAAAGCAAATATCAATTACAATCACGCAATCGGAACAACACGGGGATCGGGGACAACAACAAGCAAATTAATTGAAATCAATGCAAATGCCCAGAGCCCAGAGCAGGATGCCAACAAAAGGAAGGATCTGCGTGGACCTTAAGGGTTGCTACTGCTGTTTGCTGCTACTTCCCTTTCGGGTTTTTCAATTTCTATAGGCAATCGCATTTGTCAGTGGCTTAAGTCGCGCTGCGCTACTCTCTCTT